CTTGTGAGAAGGCTCCTCCTCCAGAGGCAGTTCAGACTTGTCCTCCTAGGTTACTGCTGCCATCAGCCCTATTTTTTATTTTTGGAACCTTTTTTCCACCTCTCTCTTTTCTCCAGCAACTTGAGGGTGTGGTGCTCCAAGTGCAAACCACAATTAAAATGCTCTTTTTTGCTTTTAATTTGGGATTCTTACTGTTCAAGATCTACTTTCGATGTTGGCCAATTAGTTCTACAGTTAGTTGTGACAGGATTTACACAGCTTGGGTGGAAAGTTCCCCCTGGGAAGCAGTTAGTTCACGTGTAGGCAGGCAGAGATGTCCCCGCGCTGCTGGGTTGGGAGGGTCTGAGGGTCACTGCAGCACCCTGTGCCGGTGCCCTCGCGCAGCGCCTGTCGCTGCTGTGCATGGGAGAGCAAGGCTGCAACAGGACATTCCTCCATGGATGCTAGTGCCAGATAGTCAGACAGCTCTTGCTGACAGATGGCCAACAGCGTTTTTACAGGTTGGGCTTGAGAAACCAGCGGTGTGAGATTTTTTAGGAGGGGTTAAATTTTGGGGCTATTTCTATACCTTCTACTGGAAACATTCAATCTCCCCATTTCTTCCAAAGAAAGGGATTGTCAGATTGAATATCAAATTGTCACCAACTTGCTCCAGTATCTTTCTTGCAGCAGTGCAGTATCCAGTGTTTGAGAAGCGCACCCAGAAAACTTCCCAGTATCCCATTAGAGATTCACACAGGTTTGTGAAGCAGGAGGCTGCATCCTTGCCAAAAGTTGCATGCCTTGTTAATCATACAAGGATTGGATCCTTCTCCAGACTGATTTAAGTTCCATACTTCATGGCCTCAAACATCCTGCAGCCATCAGTCATCACGGTCTAATTAGAAATTCTTCTCAAAAACCCCTTTGCATGCTCTGCTGACTCCTCCAAGATACTTCAGGGAGCCTTTGCTTTGATTGTCCAATAGATGTTTCTCTTGTATGTTTGTCCAGTGGATCCGTTTCCTCTCAGAGATGAGCGATCCCCAAAGTGTCCTTCTCTTGTCAGAGAAAAGTGCTGCTTGTCTTGGGATTCTTCGTCTTTCTTCGGTGGTTCTGCGACCTCAGTTCTGAGGTAGGAGCACAGGTCTGCGGAGGCTCAGCTTCCTTGAGACTCCTGGGCTTGGAGTTGCCTGCTGCTTTGGCACACGTGAAATACGCGGTGTGGGGTCTGGTGGTGCATCCGTGCCCCTGCAGAATGGACGACGTGCCTGACCCCTGGGTTGGGGCAGTGCCTGCATTTGCCTTTCTGTCTGCCGGGGAGGAGGACTTGCAGTGGCAGTCCCTTGCATGAGAGCAGAGGGAGGATGGAGCAGATGGAGGATGCAGGCCACTTGCTCCCTCTCCAGCCTTCTGCATTCTCCACATATTTGTAAAACAACTTTTGTTTTAAATTGAATTGAATTCTAAGAGCGCCATTAAAATACAGAAATGCTTCTCACTGACCTATTACTCTGCATTCAAGTTGATAAAATTTTGGATGAGTTTCTGTAGTCCTCCCGCCAGTTCTTTGTCAGGGTGAAGGGTTTAGCTGGCTCTGTTAATCCACTCTCCAGATGAAATTGTTCATTTAAATAGTTATAAAAATCCACTCTTTTCCAATTCGAATCCTATATTCCCAGATTCAAGTACTGCTGCCAGTGCAGAGACTTCAAATTCTTTGAGTGCAATCACACTGTGTCAGTCCAAAGCCAAATTGCAAACACTTATTCACAATTCCCCTTACTCAGCTTTAAGCTAATTTTTCCAGCAGGCAACAACAGCCGTAAAAGTACAGGGAAAGATTATTAGAAGAGCTTGAGAAATGATTGATCGATTCCTTCACAAGCTGGGGTATAATGCTACCACATCCTCTTCTTGCAAGCAGCAAAACCTTTCGTTCTGTTACTTAATATATTTTTAGCATGCAGTTCTTCAGTGTCACAGTAATTAAGAGCAATCACAGCTGCTGAAAGATGAAGCGTGGAACAAAAGATCAAGTAATTGTTTAAGCTGAAGTTAACTGAACCAGGAAAAGTAAGCTCAATGATGTGAAGAAAAAGCTTTCTTTGTATCCTCTGGTCTTTTACAATTAGTGAAGCCAAATACACGTCTGTAACTTTTTCCACCTACGGATAACGTCCAGGTCACAACATGCTGTTTTGAGCGGCGAGGTTTTTTCCTGCAGGCTTGTTAAGAGCATCGCTCACGTCTTTCCTGTAGCTGAGGTACGGTGTGCCCAGCAACGCTTCCCTGTTAGTCAAGGTTCAAACACGCTGCCAACCGCTAGCAAAGTTAGTTGGGGGGGCGGGGGGGGGGGGGGATTTTTTTAAAACAAAGGCAGAGGACCACCCCCCCCC